GAAAGAAATTACAAATACGAGAAAATCATACAGATAAAATAAAAAAAGAACTCTGGGTAGAAATTATCATAAATATTTATTGGCACAGGTCAGCAGTAGTCAACAAAAAAAGGAACAATACATTTTCTCATCAACTCAATTAAAAAAAAAAACAATGTTAAAAGGTATTTATTTATTTGTAGATCTTGATTAAAATTAGAAGGGATTGGTGAAGGCCTGTTAACATTTATTATCTAACTGAAACAGCAGTTCAGAGTAGTAGTTTGTCAGCAAGAGTTAATTTTTAATATCTTTTTTGTACATTATTAAATGTTTTTTAAACAATTTTTATAGCATGTGTTTGACTTTACCAGGAGATTTTGCATAATATAATTTAATGTTTCTGGGTTGTTGTTTTTTAAATGTTGAGGAGTTTTTAGCATTCTACCCTCATTCACTTATGAGCCTCTAGATATTCAAAAATATGGGAAAATACATTAGAAGGTGGATACATAGCACTTTAAAAATTTGGACACATGTTAACATCTTCTCATTCAGGCAGTGCCAAGACTTTAGAATAATTACCAACACAATCATGTTGCGGCTAAGGCACTGTGATGCAGATGATAAGCATTTTTTTCTTTTCTTAAGTCAACACCAACTCCAGCCCTTGGTAAACCCATGCAAGTCAACATTACAAATCTAACAAAAAAAATTGTTTTTGTTTTTTTAAAGTTGGAACAATGACGTCTCTGTCTATATTATCTTCTTTTAAAAAAAAAAAATGTTCAAGACATTTTTAAGCCTCCTGTCATTTTATTTCTGTGTCCCCAACAAAACTCTGGTGGGTGCCTTGTTAACATATGACATGAAAGCTAAAGCAATGATATGATGGTAATTGTGATGACGCCTAGGGAAACATTCCAGTTGAAGTCATTTAAAACAATGGTGATAAAAATCAGCACCTACTTTACTGACACAAAATTATTACAAAATACAATTATACAAAACTCTTGTTAATTTAAAAAAAAAAATCTGCTTGCAAGGGTGCCAAGAAAAAAGTGAAACATTTGAATTATACATGACTAGGAATACGGTGGGGAAAAAAAGAAGATCTCCGATATAAAAATGTCTCTACAGATCACAGAATAAGAATCTTCTTATAGATATACAAAGTTAAGATACAAGACAGATGATGAAGTGTGAATCAATGACAGAGGACGATTGGCTCAAATGGCGCACCGTTTCCTACACTTGCATTACCAAAGTAACAAACAAGTGTGAGAATTTACACATGGGGTAATACAGGATCCGTCAAAACTATATTTGATATCATTCAAAGTCCCGACCACCAAATGTTATTACTGTCAAAGAGAGAGGCACTTGAATACAGTGAACAGCCAAAAGTTTACGCCTTTTAAAAAAAAATATATATTTATAAATATATGTATTTTTAAAAAAAAATCTGAAATCTTTGAAAACATAGATGAAAGAATTAAAGGCACTTAACTATGGGATGTTCTATCATGAACAGGTGCATGGATTACTTCATATAAAAACCAACAAAATTTTTAAAAAAAATTTCTCAAGGCAGTTTTTCATGATTATTTGCGCCTGTTTTAAGTAATGCTTGTCAACATTTAATATTCTGTTTCAAGTTGTCATAATAACCTTGAGCCCAGTAACAAAAAGATAACTTTAAAGTTCCAGCAGCTGAGAAAAAGAACAAGGTCAAATCACGGAGATGATCTGAACGCTGCCATTACATGATCAGCTTTCGTAGCACTGACATATTACTATGTCCATGTGCAAGACCCAATGTGACACCAGACTAAAATCAACACAGTATTCAAAAAGTGATGTAATTTAAATGTTCTCCTCCCCCCCACCCAGTGCTGTTGCATGGGATGCAGGAATTTTCATACATTTTGTTTTAGCCAACTCATCGGTTACATCAATGTTTAACTGTTTTTTATTTAGAAAAAAAAGCGTTTCCCTTCCTCTGCAGTTATGCAAACTCCTGTGCGACTATCCGTCACTTGCTTCAATTATGTTTGAAATGTTTCTGGTCTTTAATACAAAAAGATATTTTTGAAATAATGAATTATTTGACAATAACATGTTTTTAAGTTGAAAATGTGTACAGGCACTTCTAAAGAGCAACAGCAACACTATTGAGTAATGTTATCTCATTTAAGAGAAAGCACACATTAATATGTACAGCTGGAGTGAAATTGTTCCCTTGACAGCACTGTGAGAGGCAAAATAAAATTCTATAAATCTATTTTTTTTTTTTTTTAAAGAAAAATTTACAACTAAAAGTTCACCAAAAGTTTAAACAACATAAATCTGTTTATAAAATTTCATATTGTATTGCAGGCTTCACAAAAATACAATCACAGGGAAAATTGTTTTTGTTCTAGTCGTGAAGCCGTGAGACACAGCTGCGGTACATGAACAAACTTGGACAGTGAAGACTGTCCAGAGGAACTTAGACCATCGAGTTGTTAACTCTAATACCAACTATCCTGTCTTTTTTCAGTTATTAAGATGGCATTTTTTTTTAGTATTTTATTACGCTTACACTATGATTTGTTACCTAAGGCATTCACATACTCAAGGCTATAGGTTTGGGATAGGGATACAGCTCAAGAGTTGTCATTATGTCAAAGTTATTTAGAAGTGTTACACCCCCTATTAAATTCAATTAATTTAACTGCATTTTATAAGTGTAGTAGTAAACCCCCCCAAACTTTTATGACTCAAAAGGGGAAATGCTATGAAAAAGCGTACATCCATATCCCAGAAAAGTTTTAAACCTAACGTAAATTTAGGAATAATATTTCATTTCAACCCTTTGCCATTAAAAAAAATTAATAAAAATTCATTCGTGCAAGTTCACTTGTTTAAGTCTACACATTTCAATATGTATTTCAGATCACATCCTCTACATTCCTTTAAAAAAATTTAATTTAAAAAAAATGTAATAAATTTCAAGTGAATTTACTTTCAGTTTGAACATTTGGCATACAAGTATAAAAGAAACTGTTAAATTTTTTTTTTTGTACAGGTCAGTGAAAAAATTTCTGCACACTATGAGCATGCGATGATAACAAGAACAGGACACGGATAAATTTTTAAAAATTAACTATAATAATTAAAACAAACTTGTCCCTTACATTGAATTATGTGGTTTTTTTCGGCAGGCAGTTCAAAGCAAGCTGAATCCTCACAATTCCATAGACACACATTTACAAATCCAGCCAAGCGCTAACGCACACAAACTATTTGCTCCCACAGTTCATTTGGTTACAGTTTTAAAATAAATTCTTTTTCTCGTAGATCCACTGTTGGATAAAGCTAGGTTTTGATTTGAGGACATGTAAAAATAAACATGAATTTATATATATATATATTAATATAATATAAAAACAGAATTATGATACAAATAATTGTCATGGCATGTTCTACAAATAGGTGTTTTTTTTTCTGGGTTAAACCCATTTAATGATCGTTATTTCACAGAGATCTTGAAAAAAAAATGTGTATATTAAAAAAGTATTTTGATTATTATTTTATCATCCAATTTTTCTTCCAAAGTAATAATGAAATATAGAACTTTCACTCTATTTAAGATTTACAATTTTATCGGGGGCATATGAAATATTCCATGTAACTTAGAGATACCAGAGTAAAATAAAAATGTGATCAGTCACTGGTCCATTAGTATGATGATGAAGAGAATTACAATTTTAATAATGAAAAGAATTATGCAAGTAGAAATTAAAAAAATCTACCCTTAAAATGTCAGAGCACAAAGAAAAACTGGGGGGCAGCTTTGTGCCATCGTGGCAATTGGCCGGCAGCAAGAAAAGATTTCACGTACCAGAAGAATATCATCCCGCCCATATACTTTACAACTTTTTCTCATTTCATTTAAAAAAAAAAAATTATTTGAATTTCCACATAAACCCATACCGGTACTATATTTCCTATCAAAATTAACATGAAAACTTCCACAAAATAATAACTTCATTTTTTTATTACAATAGTAGCAACATTTCTGTTGGTGTTTTAAAATCTTCAAATATTTGTTGAAGATGAGAGAGAGAGAATGGTAAGTACACTAGGACAATATCAGGTAGGGGTTGGGAAAAGTTTTTTTGTTTTGTTTGTTCTTAAACACCTTCAAACTGTGAAACTGAGACGCCTAGATTTCAAAATAAAAAGCTAGTGTTTCTACAGTTGAAGACAGTTGGAAATTCAAGCTACCTGAAAGGTAACCTCACAAGAATGCAGATAAAATAATTTGTGAAATGAAGAGGCGATAAATTCTCAAAATAAATGGAAGGCACAATGTGGAAAGTTTCAAACCAGTAACAGATATTTTGAACGGCATAGAACGTCCCGAGGCACCTCATTCTCCACAAATAAAGTATTTTCAAACTTGTCTCCAATCATAAAGTTATGGTGAAACATGTATGGCGCCATTCAGTTATTACAACATCACCACAATCAGGCAGTGTGTACAGTGAATATCTGAAAGCGCTACTTGCAAGTGTTGATGGCTGTAAATATTAGCATCAACTTTTGCTTAATTCAGTCACTACATCACATCGTCCTGCTGACAGCTGTCACTCCCTTAAGTTACCCTGCTGACAGCTGTCACAACAGTCAAGTGATCCCATAATCTAAAAAGAATAAACCCATGCATCTATGGAGCACTGCCAGCAGTAAACAACTGTTTGGTGAACACATGGATGCTTTGGACAATACAGTTCTGTGGAGCATTGCCAGCAGTAAACAACTGTTTGGTGAACACATGGATGCTTTGGACAATACAGTGGTCACATGATGAAAAAGAACAAGCACGTCAAAGTGATTGGTTGATGGGAGACAAATTGTGTCCTCCTGAGCCACTGTAGGATGAAGTATGAGACAAAATACTACTATGTGTGTATGGGGGGGGGGGGGGGGGGTTATAAGNGGTCAACTTTTTACAATTGATTTTTTTTTTTTTTTTAAGCTAAAGGCAATGTCTTCATGGATCAATCAGATACTTTTTTTTTGTTGATGACATGTTTGAAAATAAAAAAATTAACAGCCTATTATTTCCAGAGAATGTATTTAAAAAAAAAAAAATGCACATGTTTTTTAACACTTGAAATTACTTTGGTCTGAAAGACACGCAACATAAGCCTCTCAGCAGAATCATAGCTAACATTATAGGAATCTTTTTTGATGATTAATGAAACTATTCATGTTTTGGAAAATCAATACACAAGTCTCACACTGAAACAGCAGGCCATTAATCGGCAGACGGTCAGAAAATGTGTCAGGGTGTGCAGCACAGTGGCTGATCAAGTCCTTATTTGATTCATTTCAAGAAGGCACACATGATTTGTTGTCGTTAAACTAAATAGTGACAGAAGACAACTCAGACTCTGTCCAGGTTAAATGTCTAGCTGCTGAGCCACATCCAAAGAGAAGCAGGCTGTCATGTTTGAAACATTATGTCTTTAAACCAGGAAGGACAGCTAAAATATAGACTCAATCGCACAGCCAAACAGTAAACAATAATAGATTGAGATAGAACGGGAGGGCGGCAGCATTTTCAACTGGAAATTTCAGTTTTCAGACTTTGATAGGAATGATTTTCTAGTCTCTGAGAAATAGCTATAACCTGGTCAGTGCTGTAACCTCACATACTTGGTCAGTTCTGTAACCAAAATACACATAGTCGGTGCCTTAACCATCACACACATGGCCAGTGCCTTAAACATCACACACATGGTCAGTGCTGTAAACTTAAAAAATGGTCAGTGTTCAAATCGGCATACAAACTTCCATTCATTGTGCGTGGAGAAAGCATTGGAAATGTAGCACTTATTAATTATTTTTAAATTGAACATGTGTGTGCGCATACCTGAAGCTGAAATTCAATCTTAACAATTCTTAGACATCCATCATCTTAAACAAATCCAACTTCAGCTATACTGACATGTCACCCACGGTTTTACTTCAGACTGGTGATTAACCTCTACTCTTCAATCTTCATTTTCAATACGATCCCCTAATGAAAAAACAACAAAAAGAAAGTTATGTATCTATTTCTATCTAAATAACATTTTCTCCACGATATTTATGCAGCTAATGCCAGGTTTTAATTTAATAGTTCAATTTTATAAAAACGCATGTAAATTTCCTATTCAAGAAAATATAGAACTTTAAAATAACTCTAGATGATACAAAACCATGCATTTAAAAATTTAGTCTATCTTGTAAGGGCCAAGTCAAACTTAATTTAAAAATATATATACTTCCGTGGCTGCTTGTCTAAAAACTATATTTGTAGTTAAAACCATATTTTAATAGAAAGTTGCAAGAAGTAAATAACAATTTCACTTCTAAAAAGCCCAATTTGTTCAAGTTCAATGGTCAGTTAAATTACATATCGATACACAACCCCCCTCCCAAACACATTTTATGATTGAAGATTAATCTAAGTTAACCACATTTCAAAATGCCAAAAATATGATTCCTTGGATAAATGAGATATTTTCTTAATAGGAGACTTAAAACTCTAGAACATTAATTATTTACGAGATATATGTATATATATATATATTAAAGAAAAAATATATATATAATACAAAATCCATATCTGTATTCCATGAATGATGTGAGACTTAAATAATATTCCTACACAATCAATGGACACAAATGGCTAGACAAACAGACATTGAAATTAAATATTAAAATATACAATCATTTGGAAGTAGTTTACAATATTGTCATGGTGAGGAAAAAAAATATGATTTAGATACAGTTTTAAAAATGCTACGCTTTAACCAAATAAAAATAAATAAAAATATTTGTCATATGGTTAAAATGAAGAATGCTATTTTCTACCATTTGAGTCACCATATTTTCGGTTTTTTAAAATCCAAAGATTTACAAATTTTTAAAAACTTTTTTGAAAAAAAAAGTTAAAAAAAAAACAAAAAACAATGGTTAAAGCACTGCAACGCCATTGTGAATATTTTAAAATAACTGTTAAAGCATAGTACTTATGTTTTTAAGAAAATTATTTGAAAAATATTTTGTACAATATTTTGCATTAAAGCAGAGTTTTAATGTTAAAGCCTACACTAAAGTGGGGAGGGGGTAGTAAAAAAAATAAAATATGTAAATGCCCACCAACCATCATTTCCCCAGACCAATTTAATTATATTTACAAACAAAAAAATAAAAATAAATTATGCTTTATAGAACTCTCACTCATAGTCCACCCATTAACATACGACGGACATCCTCACTCGGCTATCAAGTCTTTCACACCATCACTCAAGTCTTTCATTTGCCAAAGCATATATTATAAATACAGTGTGTTGAGAGGGAGTGAAAATTGAAACAGCTTAGAGCATAACATGTAACTGAGCAGTTGGTCTGAAGAAGCAGTTGATGCAGAGATCTCAAGGCAATGTTTATTATCTGGAAACAGAAATGATAACATGATGCATTCTTTTGTAAAGTGCTGCAGTGGAATCAGATGGGTTTATGAAACTTTGTTCAAAGCTAATGATAAGTTTAAAAACATGTACTGTGAATTAAATAGTTATTTAGGCTTGATAAATCTATAAAAAGCCTTGACTAAGATTTAAAAAATTAGCGAAGTGTCAAGTGCATTACACAATAACTTTTCCCACTTCTCATTTATAAAAAAAAATTGAAATAAAAGCTATGTTTAATGACAAAAGGAAGTAACGATTAAAAAAAAATTAATTAATTTCTGCATATTGTTTCTTTTTCTTGGTGGTGTAAGCACTGGTTGTCTTGTTAAGCCACTCTAAATTATCTCAGGCTTAATATATGAAACATATGTAATATATATATTTATGGCCAACTTACCTATGACGGTGACCGCGGTGGTAGATCTATAACTGACAGTTGCAGGTGGCCCGGTGAGATGTGGTGGTTATAATCTCCTTTTGACGACATTTGGGTCTGAACAGAGTTAAGCTGTGAATAATGAAGGGGTCAGTAACATTGAGTTGGACTTTAAATCCAAAAGGCTTCCACAAGAACTTCAGCAAAACTAAAGCCACCCTGGCAGGAAAGCCGTCATCAGAGGGCATGGTTAAACCTCAGCAAGATTTCATACCCTTCACAGATTGAGCCAAAGAGCAGGCCAGTTCATGAAGATGGCAAAAATTAGGGGTGTGCCGGATCCGTTTTTTCCAAACGGATCCGGATTTTCTTATGTGAAATCCGCCAGATCCGGATTCCGGTTTCTGGTACACTATTGGCCACTATTAGCGGTGCTGACTCTAGCCTCTGGTATGTTCGGAATATTAAACATTAAACAAGCTCAACGCTCGAAACAATCGATTAATGTATCGTGATCGTGTGGAATTCGGGAAAGAGAATTACTTTTATTTCAGATTATGATCCGGTGAGTCACAAAATCTGGCAAATTCCGAAATCCGGTATATTTCGGTTGTTCCGGATACATGTAAATCCGGCAGAACCGGATTTCACCGGATAGTGCAAAATCCGGCGGAACCGAATTCCGGCACACCCCTAGCAAAAATATTCCCACTTTACTGTATGGTCGATGACAGAAATGGGGAACTGAAGGCTTTAGGTTGAGACATTTACAGTCTTAATCATGCATACATAACGGCTGTATTATTTTGAGTTTTTAAAAAAAAGTTATTCAATCTCTCAGCAAATTATCGTCATGCCTTTCTGAAATATAAGACTTTGCATTTAGTGTTATTTATATATATTTTTGGTATAGTTAATGGGATAATAATTTCATGAAAATAGATCTTTAATTTCCCCAATAATAATAATAATATGATAAATATGAAGAAGCTTCCCTGTCAACGTACATTATTAGAACCCCTGACATCCCCACTGCCCACGTGAGCTGTGTGCCTAAAATCTGTTGGTAATCCTATCATGCTTGGGTCCAGTCTTGGTCTTGGTCTACGTTTCTGGAAAGGGAAAGTTCTATCACATTTATAAATGCCTACAGATCTAACTAACAATGCAATAATTATTCTTCAATTTTGGTACGCATTGTGAATGTTCATTATTTAGATGAGATTTTTATAGCTTTCTGAGGAATACATATATTGAAAACAAAAAAATCTTTTTAAAGGAATTTAATAGATCCTCTGATGATATTTCATTTACAAAGATTTATATCACAAACGAGACCTATCTAGTTCCATAATATGTTACATTGAACAATATGTCAATGTACAGTCCATTTATTAAAATCAAATACATTTTTTTGGGGATCATTTATGAGTTGTGTAACTTAAATTAAACTAATATGTGGGCCATACTAAATTGAAATTTACAAAACGAAAAAAAATGGCACTTTTAAAGAGTTGAAAAATATATGTTTCGTTTTAAGTATACATAAAATCAAGAAAAAACAACTCACCGGTTGGGGTTGTCCACCTATACAGCAAGGAAAACACAGAAGAGATTCAGCCATCATCAATATTGTTTATCCTAGAGATTTCAAACTGAAGATGCAGAGTCTGTATCTGGAAGCAGGTATTTTCAGGTTTTTTTGTAAGTTGACGGTGTAACAATGCACAATATTACAATGAAAATAGAGAATTAACACAAATCTATTTTACAAAATAATTAATTTTAACATGAAATGTTCTTTTCAGGTTCTTATACTCCAAAAAAAAATTAAATCAGATAAAAGATGAATTAATAATTTAAATATATATATAAATAATTAGAAGCAAAATGGGTCACTATAATATGAAGGGATTCAATCCATTTCATTGTAAGCACAACCCAATTATTGTGTAAAAGTGTTGAAATGGGCCGTGGGAATATCCAGCGCAAAGAAGTCAATTCAAATGGGTAACAGATATCACCTTACTGCACACAAAATTTTCTTAAATTTTAACCAGGAAGTCCAATGACCTTCCCAGACAATAACATATTGACATATTTAATACAAGGGAAATGTAAACACGAGAACAAAGAAGCAGACTTTCAAACTTCCTCACAAGCTAATTAGCTTAAAGCAGTAGTTCTCAACCTGTGGGCCGAGACCCTTTTGAGGGTTGCCAGACCCTTACACGGGGGTTGCCTAAGATAATCAGAAAACACATATTTATGAAGTAGTAACAGAAATAGGTTTTGGTTGGGGGTCCCCACAAGAGGAACTGTATTAAAGGGTCGCGGCTTTGAGAAGGTTGAGAACCACTGACTTAAAGCCTTCCAATCATTTTTATTTTTTTACATCTTCGAGAGCTTCTGTTCGGATCCATTAAATAATTCAGTGATATGCTTAATAAATTTTAAAAAACTAAACAAACTTTGACACATTATTTTCACATTAGCAAAACTTACCACTCTGCAGCTTTAAGTAAGTTCACAGCCTGAGTGAGCAAACTTCAGCTAAATTCAACTATCCACTGAACCAGCACTTTGCAATAATTTTGTACTTGGCGAACACTTATGGTAGCATATTGGATGATCAAAACAGTCTGTAAGTGAAAGAATATCTATCAACAAAAATAAATCAAAACTGTTGGAAAACATGTTAGAATATTACGGAACTATTCATGTGCTATTAATATTACTTCCAGTGTGATAATAATGAATAATGTCATAAAGCACAAATCAAATGTAGGTCTAATAAACTAGGGAGTAAAACTACAAATTAATACTTTTGAAAAGGAAAGAAAACTTCCACCTTTATTTGTTTCAGGAATGGGCCTAGGAACACAGATATTCAAGATGTTCAGTTGCATAAGTCATGATAAGTTGTATTTATTTTGTCTATTAAATCATATTTTTCTTAAAATCTGTTGTTTAGAAGACAACTTGACTAAATACTCCAATGCATATCTTTTGAATTTTGCCCCCAGCCTTAGGTTTCATTTGAAGTAAATTAGGGTAATGTTTGTAAATACATATGCAAAGGATAATGTCAAGAGCAAGACCAGAGAAATTTAATATAAATGAAGAATAGCCGTACATTTCTACTAAGTATAACTGGGCAAGGGCTTTTCCCATAACTCTTGTACTTCTAAAAAAAAAATTACACCTTTTAGCACATGCTTCCCTGTTTCTTCACCATGCTGATTCCTTCCTCAGAAAATACTATCAAGCTTAAACAAATGTTTAATTATAAATTTTAACAATAAAAAATTTATTTTAATAAGTATTACTTATAGAATCTATTCATTTCCTTTTTTTTAAAGCATATAAATATTGCATACGTATTGCTACTTTATATAGAGAGACTATAAATTATACTAGCGATTACATGGGTGTGGGAAACCTTTCTTTACTTTAAAGTATTAGTTATCATTTTCTTTGAAATTCATGTATCGCAGTCCAACACTTTTTATAATTGCGGTAGTGGACAATGTTAGATGGAGGTTGTTAGCCGTCGAGATGCACAAACACTCGAGCACATTATCACTAATCATGTGTCACCAGGGACAACTATAGTCACGGACGCTTGGTGAGGATATCAAAATGTCAGTCTGCTCAACAATGGGATTTATGCTCACGCTGTTATTTCGCATGTGCATGAATTTGTTGATCCAGTAGACCAGGATATTCACACATAAACTATTAAAGGAATTTGGATGTAAGCGAAACATAAACTCCGATATCACAGTGGTACTAGTCGCGGTCTGTTCGCCAGCTACTTGGGGCCTTTCAGTAGAGCAACAGTCACAAGCAGAACGTTTTCGGCTGCTATTTGCAAATGATATCCGCCAATGACAACATTTAGGATTTACTGACTGGTTTGTGAAGTGACAGTTATTTTGCAAAAGCTATGCCACGACTGACATTTGTTTTTTTGCTAACAACACACTGTGCATTGCAATTTTTTTCATACGAAATAATTTGGGACCGGACTTCAGAGGATTGCCATCATATTAATCATTCAAAGAAGGGTGAAAATGCAAATAATGAAATTCATAAAATTGAGCAGTCATGTGAGGTACATTACTCATCATTAGACCTATCACTATTATAACTAGATGACTCATATTTGGTCAAATTAAAATAATAAAAAGTTATCAATTTAACGGACCATTGCAAATAGTCTTGATATTATTAGTATAAGAATAAGATTAAAGTAGCATTAAATTATAATTAGACTAATGATAATGTAACTAATTAAAATAATTTGTAGGCTAGGCCTAAATCTAAATTTATTAGTTACCAAAACAATTTTAAACACAGCCATAAACGGGACTACTTTGTGCTCCATTTCAAAATAACTTTAAAAAAATAATAAATGGGCGAATTACTTCAAAAACAAACCTCTGACATTTAGTTTTATAAATTTCCGAAATTCAGTATCTTCCGAAATTTCGTATGAGATCAGAGTTGATACACATGATTGATTTTAAAATAAAAACGAAGTATAAACCGCCATAGTAAAAATGCATTATTATTTTTCTCGACTAATCCTAATTCATATATATATATAATTAAATCTTAATTCTAAAGGTCACTAATACCTACAATAGACTTTCGGTTGACTCATCCATTCATATACAAATTTGGAAACTTTCTGTGTTCTCAACAACCCGGAAATACTACGACCTTGAACTTTTCTTTCGAGATCTCGTGAGAATTATTTTAAGAATTGTAATGCACTATCTTCTTTCTTTCACATAAAACAGAAAATGCGGTGTTGATTTAAGATTAATTATTTGTTTTATCCATGCAGCTTCACTAAATTTCATAGTTGATTGACATTTAAAATAAAAAGTGTTAAGTTTCAAGGATATTTCCCAATTAAATGCAAAGAGTAAAATGCACGTGATACTCTTTCTCGTTTCCAAAAATTTAAAATGATAAACATAAAAAAATCTGGCAAAATTTAACCGGAAACTTGTCCACGAATGTTACTTTCGATTTTACTTTCGACTTCAGTATTCATGTTCCGCCACACATCTGTTCCACCGTTTTAATCTTTCTCTGTGTTTATCCGTTGAAAATTTGAGATTTGTCCGTCAACATCTGATCGATCATGTCACATATGGCTTATTAGATTCTACAACCGTGTAACGAATAGTTCAAGATAGTAGCCTGACTGACTGACGTGGCTAAGAATCGCGCCGTTAAGCTTTAGAAGGCCTGAACCTTTGTAATAACTAAACTTGGACTTAACTATTAGGTTAATTAAGTCTAAGTGAAATAAGTATATAGCAATTGCAGTACAAAACGAGGTCTCGCTCTTGTCATTTAAAAATAGGCCTAGTAATTTTATTTTGGTCTAATATCAAGTGAATTGATTATTAAAACTGTTGTAAAGGATATTCAGATTAAGGAGCATATAGGCCCTGTTACTGTTAGTTGTGGACGACTTTTACTCAGACTAGCTAGAACTAGAGCCCAATATTTTATTATCACGTTTTCTTACTTTTGGAAATGAAGCTAACAACCACGTCTGTGACCATTTGGCTTGTACTAAATCTGAGCTTCGTGCTATCAGTTTTTAGCAACGAAATGGGAGGCATAAATGAAATCGATAGCAAGTCTTGGCAGCAAGCCTTAGATGATGATAAAAAGCTAATTGTTCTTTTTTGTGAGTAGTTATTAATGATTTATGTATCTTTTAAATTTTCTATGTATGCTACATGTAGGCCTATGTATAATTATTTGTGTAAACTTAACTTATAGCAGGCCTACAGTTACAGTTTAGGTGTATGACTATGAGAAGAAGTAGTTTATTGTAGTGTAGGACTCAGCTGTAGAATGTGATGAGTAGACCCATTATAAGTTATTCTTTTTAGGGCCTTTATAACTAGGCCTACTAGTTATACAGAACTGTTTAAGTCGATATGGAAAGATGCTACTTTTCCTCAGCAATTCAAGGATGCATATATTAGAGTAGAGAACGGGCAGTCTCCAAACCTGTAACAACTACCAAGACATTTCTCTCCTTTCCAAAAGTGGGAAGATCTTGGCTAGAATTCTATAGAGACTACTTCCTGAAAGCCAATGCGGATTCCACTCAAAATAGAATGGGGCACAGCTAACAAGATATTTGCGGCACACCAGCTCCAGGGAAAAAAAAATAAAGTAATAAAGGTCCACAGGACATGACAACAATAGTCAACCTGCAGCTTGCAGCCATTTTACAACCAGCAATTCTTGGAATTCACAAATGTAATCCAAATGTTACAAAAAACTCTGTTCTTGAGTAAAATTATGATTGTTTATTTCAGACCAGGCTGAAAATTGTGAGGCTTGTGCAGCTGCATTACAGAGTTTGGGCCAAGTCTTGGGACAACCTGAGATTCCAACTGGTAAAATTTAAACTACCCCTCCACCCCCCCCCCCTATTTTGCTTATTAAATATTTTTGAAAGTCTGAGATATTTATATTTAAATTAAATAATTAAGACCCTTATTTTAATATTTTTAAACCAGATTTTCATTTTTGTAACTTATATTTATGTAAAATTTAAACTACCCCTCCCCCCCCCCCCCCCCTATTTTGCTTATTAAATATTTTTGAAAGTCTGAGATATTTATATTTAAATTAAATAATTAAGACCCTTATTTTAATATTTATAAACCAGATTTTCATTGTGGTAACTTATATTTACATTATTCCAGGTGATAGGCTACTTAGTTATTTAATAAAAAGACACATGCTTTTACAGATACACAAATTAAATAGAGTAGTCTGGACCTACATTTTTAGCAGTTTATCAAAGTGCTACACCATTCAAAAAGTGTTAGGAATCCCTAACCTATACATGATTATAATTTTATTGATCTTATATCATTGTTAGTTTGTCTCTAACCTTACTTGGAGAGAGAAAAAACAACTGTATGAGTGAACTGATGCTTTCAGTAATTAAAGTAAATACACTTTCAGATCTTGTAATCGGCAAGTCCTTTGACCTGACACTTGTTCAAAACCTGAAGATAGCATCATTTCCAAGCTTGATCTTCTTACGAGAAAACTCTTACGTCATCTACGATGGTAAGTTTGTTTTTTTTTAGTTTAAATTCATTGTTTTTTAGGCACCTTTGGTTAGGGCACAAAAGTTATCATCTTAACTTTTTTTTTGTTTTTTGCAGGGGCATATGATGTTGAAAGTTTACTGGAGTGGATTCAGATTGCTAATCAAAAGATCACAAAGACTCTGGATGATAGTTCATTTGAACACCTGACACAAGCTGCAACAGGTGCAACCACTGGAGACTGGCTAGTGGCATTGTAAGTTAGTCAGTTATGTGCCTGCAATTCATCACCTCTCACCCTCTCATCACACTGAGCAAAGACACAACACTCCACCAAGAAATGGATGGTACATTTTAAAGAAAGCGCCATTTTATTTTTATCCGTACTGTTACCACTGTTTGCATCAGCTGTGATGCACTTTTCCTAGAGTACAATTCTGGGTCATCTTTAACCTTGGAATCATCAATATAACTTTAAGCATTACTTTAAATATATTTCTACATCACTGTGCCTATTGGTAATGAATTGAAAAACATTCCGATTTCATCATTAAAGAATAGCACCTTTGTAGTGAGAATAGCAGTTTTTGTGAATGATAATCATGTTTCTAGGACCCAGAATGGGATAGTTATCAAAGGTGTTGCATGGCAGGCTCATGTAAGAAAATCATCAGGTGGTTTTGCATGATCAACGCCAAGGAATACTTTACAGCAGAAAAGGGCGTTACTCTTGTTCTGTGCACACATATATATATATTATATTTTAAATTTAATTTATTCTAAAGTTTAAACAAATTTTTGATTTGAAAAGTTGGGTGAAGCTTTGAATAAAGAAACATTGAATTGAGATCTTTTCACTGCTTCTTTCAGTTACAAGGACTCATGTGATGCTATACTCCCAGTGATGGAGAGCTTGGGTGTAAGGTAATAATGTCATTTGTAAGATAATACTGACATTGTAAGGTGATATTGACATTGTAAGGTGATATTGTTCGTCCGTCGAGGACCATCAAGTTGTCTGGTGACTGATGACTTGCGCGGATGACTTTGTTTAAAGTGAAGAAGAGTTGCGCGGCATCTACCTCGCTCTCTCGTCCGAGGCCACCATATCCAGTGGCAAGACTCTACGTCAAGACGACCAGGGATGGGTTCGGTTGCAGGAATTGTCATTGTTTGCGCCTTACGGGACTCCAACTCCGGGTTTGAATTCAGAGTTTCCTTCTCTTAGATGAGTTGCCGAACACCAGACCACCAACTTGAGGTTTGCTCAGTTTAGACCATTTGGCCACCCAGGTGATATTGACATTGTAAGGTGATATTGACATTATATGGTAGTATTGAAATAAGGTGGTACTGGCGTTGTAAGGTAGCGATTACATTGAAACATGTGAGACCCTTCTATTCTGTCTTTTAGCTTAGTCACCACTGACATGTAGCTGTGTATACGGTAAAATATGTTTTCATTGCTTGTAACTTTGCACTAAAGTTTTCAATTTTTTTTCAGAGTCCGTAACAAGATCAATGTAGCGAAGGTTGACGTTACTGTAAGCCCGCTCTTGGTGGAGAGGTTTCAGATCACCAACTGTCCAGAGGTTATTTTGTAAGCGTTTTCTCCTCTAGATTTTTTTATTTTACAAGCATGAATGTATCTATTAGTATGAGGAGGTTAATTGATTATTGTTATTTTAATTAAGGATACCAATATTTTCATTTGTCTAATAATGTATTCATTAAAAAAAAAAATCTTCTTATGTTCTTGCTACTCGTGTTTTTTAAAAAAGAGAAAAAAAATTGCATTAGTTTAAAATAATGAAATATGTAAAATATTGAAACAGCTTCAAGCAGGGCAGGATGTACCGTTATGATTTCCCTACCCTTGAGGTTCCCTCACTTAAATCATTTGTCGATGGGTTTTATAAAAATGTCAAGGCCGAAGGTGTCCCGATTCCAAAGTCAAAGTTGTAAGTATGCATTTCTCTTTCTCGCAATGTTTTGATTTTATCACACTATGGGGTTGAATAGATTATATTAAAAAGACTTTGTTTTATCAGTAGATGTGATTTTTCTTCTTTTGATGCATCAGTTGTTTTGTTTATTATATAAAATGAAATAGGAGGCTTTTTGTATTTTTCAAAGCATTTGTATGTGACCTGAATAGTCCATCAAAAAATCCTTTCATACAATGATTATCCATCTAAAAAAATCTCCTACTTCAATATGTCCTGCACAGTTAAAAGATAAATCATCTTCATTCAACTCATCTAGATTTAAAACCCCAACACAAACCCTGCCCATGTTGTTTAAAGAACGTTAGCTGGTATTTAATTACATTTACAATTTAAAGCACAGTAAGGTAATCAAAACATTTTAATTTTTCTGATTGTTAACTTATTTGTCTTTTTGTAAACACTTTTCAGTGATTACCTCACAGAGCACATTGCTGATCAAATTAAGGTAACACAGAAGCTAAATTGTTCATTTATTAAGTTTTCTAGATTTTTAAAAATTCAATATAGGCCTACATATATTTTATGGTCTTATAAGAATATGTTCTGATTAATTTAAATAATTGCAAAAAATACAAAGTTTTCATGTTGTGAAAGTTGTTTTGTTGTTACCAGCGCCTTGTAAAGCGTTAGGTCGTAGAAATGCAGGAAATAGATTTTACTGGAATTGATTTTTAAAATTTGATTCGTTTTGACTTTTTGGTTTCATTAAAATTAAGATTCAGCAAATCTCAATTCTTATCTTACATAACATAATTATTTTTTTTTAAATATTTGAAAATCAAATATTTGGTTGTTTTGCTCTTAAGTTTGAAAAATTTAACTATTTTTTTATACTGTTAAAAAGCTCTATTTGTTTAGCCATTTTTTTTTTTCTTCTTAACCCAATTAGCAACAGCTAGAAGGGGAAAATGGCACGATCATATTGGCCGGTGCAGCCGGAGCTGGGGTTTTCTTCTTACTTTTTACGTTCCTGTGCTGTTGCCGATCGTCTGGTGGCGACAACCGCAGAAAGCAGAAGAAAGATTAGTTCTGGTTCTTGTGTGATTGCCATTCCTAGTCTGAATGTATTGTGAATGTTGCTCTTTGAGAGAAAAAAATATATATTTCTTTCCATGTCTCATTTGTAAGTTTTGTTTCTACAGTTTTTGCTGCAGTGTGTTACTCTAAATTATATGTTCTTATATAAATGTGAACATTTGTATATGTGCTTATATAAATTTGAACATTTTTATATGTGCTCATATAAATTTCAAAATTTTCATGTGTTCATAAAATGTGAAAATTTTCATATGGCTCATAAGATGTGAAAATTTTCATATCTGCTCATAAGATATGAAAATTTTTGTGCTCATATAAATGTCAACATTTTCACAACTAAAAAAATCATAAGCAACTACATTTGCTAGCATCGTAGCTTAAAGCCCCCTTGTTCTTTGACAGGACTGGAGTTAAAAATTCTCTACAGATTTGAATTTTTATGGTGGTAACATGGCAGTTAATTGTTCTACTTGAGATGAAATTAAATATTTAAATATGGCTGCTGTGTACAAAATTTTGCCACCTCCATATGGGTTACCAAAAGTTTCACCTGCTAGATAACATTTTTTTTCAGTCACAGTTATTGTGGATGGAAACAACACCAACCTATACCCGGTCGTTTTGTTATTTTTAGTCATAACAGCAGGATGAGATGTTTTTATTTTACATAATGTCAATTTACAAGGCAGGAATTGGTAAAAGTAAATAAGACAGTTTAAAAGTAATTGCGATCTTCCTTATTTGTTGGGAAGCTTTCGGCAATAGATTTTCATTCACAGATCTTTAAAAGTCAGCTGAGCATGGCTGTTGAAAATATAGAATCTAAGCTTAGTCTGATTTTATTATTGTTATATAACATCATGTATCTTCATGGGACAGGCAGACTGGGCTGGTTGGGCGTATGGCATATTTTATACAAGTTCCATGTCATACTTTTATTTACTTCTACCGTTGAAAATATGTGGATTACTTGTCAAATTATACAATTTTATTAAGCCTGGATGTTATTTTTAAGCTAAGCTTCTTGTTATAAAAATGTTCTTTTAAAATGCTATCCCTTTCATTTACAATTAATAAGTTTACTGTAATTTTTATTTAACAAAACTATTTTTTACCCATCTTTTTATTTTGATAAAAGGGACAGGGTACTTACCACACAATCAAGTTGGAATAGACAATGTAAGCTGCTTATTGTTGGTTCATTACTGGGTTATTTTTAACTTGTACTCTTCTGCTCTCCATAAATTCTAATAGTACTAATAGGCGCACGGATGCTCAACCATTAGTTAAATTTTTATATTTTAATGAAAATCTCCATTTCAGACTAAACTAGTCTCCACTTGTTTACACATTATATTTTGCTGCTTTAATTGTTAATTGGTATGGTGGGCCTGAATGAGTTTGTGCATTGAGTTGTTTTAGGTCTGTGTGAGATGTGTTGAAATAAATAAAAGAAACATAATGCTGCATCTGATTTTCCTTCCATTATTGAGCATACATAGGATAAAATCGACTTTTTTTTTTTCTTTCCTTACACGAAGTATGAAGTTAATGGTGTAATACTCTGCTGATATTTGTGATTTAAGTAAAATATATTTTAATAAGGAACTTTAGGAAGAAGTTTAACTATTTAAACAAAACAACAAATGTAATATTTTTAAAATATATACCTTAACCTTGGTCTTAAAGCTTATGGAGTCTAAGGCACTATATATACAGGCATAACTCACTTATGTGATTGTTTAGGGAACAGCAGAACGCACACACACACACATACTAAGAGTCTGAAAATGAATACTCGTACTCATAGTTGCAAATATTAAGTGTAAGGGCAGTCTTTAAAAAAATTAAAAACACAAATATTGTCTAAATAAATAAAAGGTGTTCCATAAAAGCTGTTTATGCAAAATATCTTGGAAACTTTCTTCCCGGCTGTTGAAAGATGGAAAAAATAGAAGTGGGCCATAAATTGTGTCTGTGCAATTTTACATTTGCCTACTTTAATGAAACATGGCAAATACATTTTGGTTTCATAATGAATTTAAAATAAAGGATTTCAACCTGACATTTTGTCCCTTAAGAATAAGGACAGTAATCTCCAACTCTGACACACCAGAACAAATTATAAAAGTAACAGGAAAGCTTTAACTCTTTTTTAGTGATTTATTTTATATTATTCCAATGATAGATAAAGTCTTTTGTTTACCAGTAAGCCTTAAAAGAATTTAATTATTTGAGTGTAATTAATTAGTATGCCATTAAGCAGAATGCTGTCACTGCATTCCCAGGTGTTAAGGCAGTGGTTCTCAACCTTTCTAATGCCGCAAACCCTTTACTACAGTTGCTCATGTTGTGGCGACCCCCAGCCACAAATTTTTTTCGTTTGTTCTTCATAACTGTAGAGTATATATGTTTTCCGATGGTCTTAAGCGACCCCTGGGAAAGGGTTGTGCGACCCACAGGTTGAGAATCACTGTGTTAAGGTATCTTTTGAAAGTCACATGCTGCTCCAATTCAAATCCACATATTTTTAGAATATGGATAATCCATTATCTTCTGGACCCCCCTTTTGTAAAAACTTTAAAAATATTTTTTTTATTTTCTTGAACTTCCTTTTTGTGTGGAGCATAATCTTGTGTGTGGAGCATAATCTTGTGTGTGGAGCATAATCTTGTGTGTGGATTGTAATTTTATGCGTGGAGCAAAACTTACTTCTTTACTAACGTGATATTTTAAGATTTCCTCGTGCAGTGTTCACCTGGAAAAGAACACTGGGTTGACGTAGGCGGGTTGACACTGCCGTTCAAATTATCATGGTTGACCGCGTCTGCTTTGTTGAGTGAGTGGGTGAGCTCAGGTCTACTTTTTTAGTTTTATGCCTAGGTTAAGTAAGCCAATTAAACCAGGATTTTCAAAGCTTCACTAATTAATAAAGTAAATAATTATACCATACATTTGTCTATAATATAAAGATTACAATAATTTTAATACTAAAATGTAGAAGAAAAAAAATCTTTTAAAAAAATTACTTTCTACCAGAGACGAGTTAGATGTCATTAAAAAGTAAAAATAATTTTAAATTTCTTAAAATGCATTACGCACAGGAGGTCTGTGTAGAAAATATTATCTTTAATTAATAAAAAAAATAATAAAACATTCACATTCAATTCGAATCCTTCCACTTCATAGTGTTCTCATCTACACTTCTGCACATTCTTTTTTTAAAAAAAGATTTTTTAAAAATTTATATATTTTTTTATCTCTGTCAAGTTAGTAAACATGAAGCGACATCTCTACATTAACACTGACCCTAAAACGGAGTCAAGAGAGCTCTGGCTTCGATCAACTTGCCTTGCGTAATAATTCTTGACATTTAAAACAACATCAATTACTACCGTAACATCAAATGAGGTACAAGTACAAATGCAAGGGCTAAACTTCAGAGCCAAAGGATTCTGTGTAACAACAATAACATAATTAAACTCCATATCAGGAATGTGTCTCAGAAAAAAAACTAAGACTGAACCATTGAGTCGGATATTGTTACATGTAGCTTTATTCAGATATTTTAATGTTTGTACTGAAGACTCCCATTTCTGAATAAAAATAATGTTCAGCTCTGCTCATCGTTTATGAGCTATGCTCATGTGTTATAAAATGATGGATGGGAAGCTTACGTTTTCTATTATCATGGTAGTAGCCTTGTGAAGAAATGGACCAAACTCATTCAGAGCCTCGAGGTAGACACTAGTCAACAAAAGATTGAGTGGGGGGGTGTGTGTGGGGGTTGTTCACAAGTGACCCCTCTTACGATGTCAGTCTTTTTGGGTCAGCCATAAGGCCCCCCCCCCCTTATAATCTCAGCAATGTGCGGTGTGGGCACCGTGTGGGGATGCTGCTGTTCTGGTGATGAGGTAGTATATGATACTTATCATTAATACACTTGTTCTGGTGATGAGGTAGTATATGATTCTTATCATTAATACATTTGTAGAGTTGGTCAAGCCTAGCCCCAAAAACTCCAAGCAACTCAATCAATGCATGTGTTTATATCTTAATTCAAATAATTAAGTTTATTGAATTTGTTTGACTTCAGATGATTAAATATATTGTATGTGCTGGTAGTAGTGATAATTATATAGATTGATTTCATACGATTAAGTAGACTGAAAGGGCTAATATGAAGAAACATGGACTGCGGTAAAACAGTTGAGACAGCCACCGACAAACGCAGCAAGAGATTTGTACTTTATTGCTTTGATATTAAGAACCTACAATATCAAAAAGCATCTTCTAGCCAGCCACATGTTGTGTCCTTATATCACATAGCAACAACAGCTTGTTCATTTGGTTGGAAACATTGATATAGGCAATAATATAATACATGTCATTTTAAGAGTTTTTTTTTAAAAGAGCGCTACATAGCAAATACAGCATAATAGAGATCAGCATGATATACTCGAATGAATTTTTTATACTCACAGTGGTTCAATGGTTACAGCAAGCACAATCACAGTACACACAATCACAATACACAAAATCACACGTAGAGTACCTGTGCTTGCACAATGATCTACCATAATCTTCCTAGTCATAAATTCAAATTATTAGGCTTGATAGTGTTAACAAACAAAGTTACTAATATATTATATAATTACCCTAAATATATAATAAATTCAATGATTCCCCTAAAATTATACAAGAGGGCCAGTACATTGAGCTGGTAATTATGGAAATAAAGCAGTAGAAAAGGTATGCATTCATGGTGTCATTTTGACTTAAATATTTTTAACAGCATGTCAATGGGTGGGTTAAGGCATTCTATAAACCCCAGCGCAAGTTTCAGCTTGTGTCCAGGAAACTGACCCACTGGCCAGAGCAAGGAAGCAACATTCAGTGGGTGCCAATCAGTGGTCCAGCCCATCTTACGTCAGTCCTTAGGCCAGTCATTTTTTTTTAATGTTCTTATTTACATGCTGTTGCAGTCAGGTCTATGGGTCGTGCATGTGTTTTGTCTAGTGTAGATAGAAATAAATTATAGACACCAAAAAAACTTAATTTCTTGTGGGAAATTTTTTTTTTTTTAAAAAAACCTTGACACAATTCATAATTCAGACACAAAGATTTGATTCGTCAGCCCTGGTAAATGTTCATAAAATATTTATAAAAATAATATTTTATACAGTCTCTCTGATAAACACAACTAGCCACAAAAAACAACAACACAACAGCAAGTGGCTACAAGGGTGCACTCCATTCTTTAGTCATAATGAGAGTTTAGGCAACAGGGCAACATTTTAAAAGAGGGCCCAAAGTGAGATATAGACACGATTACAATCACATCACTAGGCAGAACAAGGTAATGGCCGGGGGTAACAACACAAAGCATTCTCTCGTGTCAATAAAAAATGAAAACAACGATCACCTTGGCAATCATTACAGCCTGCAGCAATTCACAAAAAGACATTGTCCAGTAAAATAATAATAGCAAAACCACTCGAAACATTATTACAACATTATGTTGTGTTTAACTAATAAACACATCGTGTAACACTAAAATTCACTGAAAACTACAATGCGCAAGAAAAAAAAAAAAATAAAAAAATAAAGGCAATACTTGACCTGATGACACAGCAATGTGTGAGTGGATTAATAATAAACAGATTTATAATGACCTCAAATTTTATTTATATTACTAAGAGTACAAAACTAGGTTTTAAAAAAGCCACAAAAAAAAAATAATTAAAAAAACACCAATGATTTGATTTTAATGCCACACACATAAGTTTGAATATATAAATAATGTGTACCAGTACATCAGTATCATCTACCAATATCGACATTCAAACACACCAATGAAACTGATGAAAATTTTGTGCATTACAACAACATACTCAGGACTTATTTCAACACCATTTCTCATCAAGGTAACATTTCCCTGCATTAACACATGAAGAGATATTGAATGATATAATATATATAAAGGGGTAGTTTTTAAAAACAAACAGGGACCAGATTTAACGAACAAACAAACAAAAAAAACCCTAAATGATCACTATAATATAATTTAAATCATTAACAGTGACAGGGAGCTAACCCTCACTATTAGATTAAGTATTTTTTCAAATAACATTTTTCAATAAATTAACTTTGCATGAATGAATTTTGCCACTTCTGGCCAAATCTGTCTAAATAAATATTACCAAAGAGTCACATTTTTTTTTTTTTATAATTTCCTTAACAAACAGCATACACAAAGGTAACAACAATAAAAAAAACAAAAAAACCCAAAAAACATGGAATAATGTAAAATAAATTCAAAGTGAATTACACAGACATTTAAAAAATGAGATGCCAGGGGTAATTCTATAATTTGTTTCACAACACTGAGGCATGGACTGATGTGTGTTTCCATGGCAACAGAGGACAACATGAAATGGCGGGGATTCACTGGGAGTGGT